ACACGAGACTCAGCCCCAAACGTGCCCCCGTCACAATATTCTTATTCTCTATTCAAGTCTTATTCCCTATATAAGCATCATCTTCTGTAAAATTAGCCTTGTCTATCATCAAACTGCTAAGCATGCTCAAGATGACCTCATAACTTCTAGTTTTTGTTCCATCCATTTTACTTAAGCTTTCTAAAATATTTAACACCTTTCAGCCTTCTCTTGCTCCAGCATTTCCTGTGCCTGTTCTCCTCTTAGCCAAACTATAGTTCAAGCAGATACATGTAACTACTATCATTAAAACACCTTAAGGCCTCTATAGCCTACAAAACACCTAAGTATTGAATAAATATTTCAGTTCTGTATCTGGGAAAAAGCTACACGTGGTCATATATGATGATGATGATGATGATGAAATATATTCTATTCCAAGAGAAACCATGGAGGCTCATCCAGCTGCAGGCCCTAGATGAAGGTAATAAGGGCACTGGCAGAGTCATCCCCAGTGTCCTCACAAAGAAAGCTCCACAGGCCTTTATAAACTAAGACCAGACAGCAGACAACTTTCTGAGCAACAAACCATTTGTCTGCATTTCCTGACCTGTCTGAGACCCTGCTTGCCTGTTGCTACTGACTAGATCCTACCTGAACCTTGCTTAGACTAACTCTTTGCTTTGATCCTTGCCTTGCACCCTTGCCTAGTCTGAACCTGTATATCACTTCTGCCTGGATCCCTGCCTGGATCCCTGCCTGTTTCTGCTCCCACACTACGCGTGCTTGCTACCATCATGGATTACTCTGTTCTCACCTTCTCTGCCCTTGTGTGCTCCTGGCTTGAACCTCCTGGTACAACCAACAGCTTGCTTTGACCTGATTTCATTGCAATCCCCATCTTGATATCTTGGACTTGTACTGAACTCAGCACTCTCCACATAACTCCTGTTTTAACCCAGCCCCTTGTACTGACTGTCCCAAACGCAATCCACCCTAACAGGAGGATGTTAAACACTGGCTACTAGAACTACATTTTTTAAAAATCAGCAGGATGGATATGCTGCATCCAGGAGTTTTAGAAGAGCTGGCCAAAATGCTCTCTGGTCTGTTAATGATGACTTTTTAATAACTTTTGGAACATTGGAGACATTCCAAGGAACAGGAAAAAAGTTAATATTGCCAATATATTAAAAAGCAGAAATGAAACTACCTGGATAATTATAGGTCTGGCAACCTGACACCAAACCTTGTGTAAAATAGGAGAATTGCTGATATGAGAGTCAATTAATACTACATTAATAATGAGTAAATGTAATTAAACACCAACCAATGTGATTTTATGAAAAATAGACTTTATTATGCTACCTAGATATCTTTGATGAAATAACAAGTTTGGTTGATGATGGTAATAGCATAAATGTAATAGGTTTCTCTAAGACTTTCAAGTTGGTACCCCATTACATTCAGATTAAGAAACAAGAACGATACAGGATTAGCAAAGAACATATTAAAAGGTTTAAAAACTGACAAGTCTTAAAATATAATTGTAAAAAAATGAATCATCATCAAATGGATGTGTTTCTATTTAAGTTTCACAAGGATCAGTTCTTGACCCTATGCTATATTTATCAGTATCATGAAAGAAAACACAAAATCATCATGGAGCCATCTGATCTGGCTATCAGACATGGGGCTTTGGTGGTATTTATGTTGGGGCTTCAGCAGTGGTCACTTTCCCTGTGCTGCTGCATGGAGAAGTAGTAGTAGCAGCTGGATCCTAGTGCCTGCTCACCCACCTTTGACCTGAACTGGATCATTCTGCCCCACAGCCTAAAAAGATTGCAATCTCTCTAAAATTTAAACCACAAGTCTGGAAAACTTACAGGGATTATTTCTGCCATTGAATAATATATTTGTTCCTGAGAAGGTAAAATCCACATTTCAGGTCAACACTGCATACCTCTGCTGCACATTGTGAATTCACTCTGCACTTTTTTATCATGATCATCAGTGAAAATGTTGAATGCAGACTCTACAGTAGACACCCACAGTGAATACTGAAGAGCAAAATGGGCCAGGTGCCTGGAGATTGGAAACTAGCTAATGTGGTCCCCATTTATAAGAAAGGGAGAAAGGAGGACCCAGGAAACTATAGGCCCATAAGCCTCACGTCGGTCTTGGGGAAAATCCTTGAAATAATTATCAAGGAGCACATCTGTGAGGGGCCAGCAGGGAAGATCATGCCCAGGGGAAATCATGATGGGTTCATCAAAGGCAGGTCCTGCCAGACCAACCTGATGGCCTTTTATGACCAGGTAACTAAATCCCTGGATGATGGTGTCGCCGTGGACGTAGTCTTTCTGGACTTCAAGAAGGCCTTTGACACTGTTTCTCACCCCATTCTCATTAATAAATTGAGCGACTGTGGCATTGGTGCCTACACAGTTGGATGAGTCAAAAATTGGCTGATGGGGCGCACACAGAGAATGGTGGTGGACGGGTCATACTTGCCCTGGCGGGATGTGAATAGTGGTGTCCCCCAGGGCTTGGTCCTGGGGCCCACACTGCTCAACACCTTCATCAGCGACTTGGATGAGGGGTGGAAAACACGTTGTCCAAGTTTGCCGATGACACCAAGATCTGGGGAAAGGTAGGCACACTCAAAGGGAGAAAGAGGCTGCAATTAGATTTAGACAAGCTACAAAAGTGGGCAGATGGTAATAGGATGGAGTTCAATGTAGATAAATGCAGGGTGCTGCACCTGGGGAGAAGGAATCCACAGCATACATACAAGCTGGGGAGCTCCCCCCTTGTGAGCACAGAGG